AAACACCAGAAGCCTAGGCACAGAGGACACTCGATGGGGTGGAATGAAGGTGAAGTCTGCAGAATGGCGAGGCCATGATGAGGTGTATGAAATCTGTGCAACTAGACACGTAGCATGTGCAATTCAGAATGCCACTTAGACGCATGCTGACTCTCCGTTTCATCTTTTGTTGTCGTCATCTGGTCACATCGTCTGCACCTCTGGCTCGGAAGTCGCAGAGGCTGCCAGGCAGGTCGAGATACCTGTCGGCAACAGTTGCCAAGTCGTTGTGACACTGTCTCTGGGGCCACTGATTGCTGGACAGGGGGGAGGTGGCCCATGGCACATCTCAGTTGGGCTGAACAGTTGCTCTACTGACCTCATGTACACTGTGTCGTCAACCGGGGTGGAAGTTGAAGACACACAGTGCACGTGAACACGTAGAAATGGCGCTCAGTTTAGAGCGAAAGCAAACAGGACGCACATTGAGAGAACCCCTTGACGATGTACCTCCGGTGACCCTTACTTGGGGAGGATGTGTAGGTCGGGGAATAGGCAATAAAGTCTGCCGAAAGCTGGTGAAACCAGTGGATTGAAGCGGTGCATTTGGGCTATTTCGTGAACCCAGAGCTCATCGCCCTAACCACGACTGTTGCTATCATAACATTTTGCGTTGTTCATGAAATTCAGGGCATTTGTTAAATGGGTACCATTACAATAGTGAAAGCTGTATTAACTGTACAAACAGAATTTTTGGGTTTTTGCTCTTTGTTTTTTGATCTAATCTCCTTTCGATTTACAAAAGTGGGCTGACCTCGTTGTCAGGACGACTTAGTAGAACGCACTTAGTCCGAAGTCATCTGTCATAGTGGTTGTCATGACTCCCAACATCTGACAGTGGAATTGGTAGATTGCAAGTCTTGTCTCTTTGACTAGTTCGTAGCTTGGTGCGGCGAATGGCAAAACTGACTGATGATGCCGGTGAAACGTTTGAGAATGTATCAAGTCCACTGTCAGATGCCGGGAATCATGACAACTGCTATGGCAGACGGCTTCGGACTAGGTGCCTTCTACATAGTCGCCCTGACAACAAGACCAAGTTGCGACAACGAGGTCAACCCA